TCTGCCCTTAAGAAAACACAGGGTAACCATGGGGCTGGGGAACTCCCCTAAAACAAATGTCCATTCTTAACCAGAAAAGAAATGTGGCAGAAGTCTGTTTATTTAAGTGTAAATATGTAAAAGTATATTTTTAGAATGGTTATAATTTAAACTTAATCTAAATGCACTTAAAGGTATGAATTACATAGATAAATATGAGACTAGGTGCATGGATGGACTGACTTACAAAACAGGACACAAAAAGTACACCTAGTACTTACTAGGATATGAGGGAAATTCCAAAATTTTTTTTGGAAGCCAGGCAGTTGGCTTAAGCCTGTAATTGTAACTACTCAGGAGGTTGAGATCTGAGAATTATGGTTTGAAGCCAGCTGAGGCAGAAAAGTATCCATGAGACTTTTATCTACAATAAACTACTCAAAAAGAAAGAAAGAAGGAAAGAAAGGAGGGAAGGAAACAAAGGAAGGAAGGAAGGCAGGCAGGAAGAAAAGAAAGTTGGAAGTGGTGCTGAGGCTCAAGTGGTGCTAGCCTTTAGCACCAAGAGACTCGGGGACAGTGCCCAGGCCCTGAATTCAAGCAGCAAGACCTGAAAAAAAAAGTATTTTTAGATGTTTCCAAATAACAGTATATTGGGCTACAGTGGCATTATAGGGATTATTCTGAGAACTGGGAATATCCTTGAGTTTCCAATAAAATCACTGGAAGCAAGCTGAGGTCATTCCTGAAAGTCTGTGCATGTGTATTACAAAGCCCTCTAAACTTGAAGCACAGCCTTGCAAACACAAGCAGACCATCCATTAGCTAGAATTAGCGCTCTTGTGCTGACAGCAGCAGTAGGAAAGCTGGTTGTGTTTCTGAGCAAACATGGGTGCTCACACACAAACTGCCATGCGCCAGTGAGAGTTTGACCTTTAGGTCTATGAAAGGGTCGCCTTTAAGGAGAATAACAGTTTTGATATGATTTAAAAATTTCTAAAACCCAGTAATCGCATATCATTGAAGATGACTGTGTGTTGGTATATGTAAACATGGACCAGAGACAAGATTCACAGAGTGAGTCAATGGAACTCGTCTTTCTCTATACATACAAAGTAATTAAATAAATAAATAATCTGAGTCTGGGGCCAGAAGCATGGCTTAAGGCCCTAAGTGAAATCTTCAGAGGAGAGAGAGGAGGGGGGGGAGAGGGAGAGGGAGAGAGAGAATGTGGAGAATTTAGAAGCCCTTCTACACTGCAGGTTACCCTTTCATCCCTACCCTGGCAAGAGCTGCGTGATGACCACGTGGTCCTAGTAGAATGCTGAAATCTCCCTGCTTCCTGGGAAGCAACTGGAAGGCAGTGGTGGTCCTCGGTATGATTTCTACAGTGACATATTTACTGTGAAGAGCTTTGGATTGGACAAACTTAAGTACAGTCCAGAAACTGATTTGGATATGAAGGCATAGGAAATCATCCTGGAACAAAGTAACTATGTTGAGTAGGTAGAAAAAAAAAACAGGTTTAATTCAGTGACACTTACTGTGCACGTACCATGCTGTAAGTCCTGAACAGACAGACAAGGCCTCTCGTTGGGCAGATCTGACAGCTTTATGGAACTCTGGGAGTGGATGGCCAGTCTTTACTACTAAGGAAGGAAATAGCAAAATGAGTGGAAATTGCAGTAAGAACTGTGAGGAAGAAAAGAAAGGGGGAAGTAGGGAAGATTTTCAAGAAGAGCGTATAAGGAAGTGGCGCTGTAGCTCAAGTGGTAGAGCGCTCGCCTTGAGCTGAAGAGCTGAGGGACAGCGCCCAGGCCCAGAGTTCAAGCCCCACAACCGCCAAAAAAAAAAAAAAAAGAAGAGCGTATAACATTTGAGGATATATTTGAGAATATAACATTGGAGCGCACCACTGAAGAATGGAAAGGACCAAGCTATGTGACTACCTGCGGGCCAGGGGCAAGTACTGCAGAGTTTAAGGTGATGCTGATGGATGAGTCTTGATGGTCTAAAACAGACGTGGCTGAGTGTGAAGGGAAGGAAGGGAAGGAGAAAGCGGGGCCCTGTGCCTGGAGGTCAGAGCACAGAGACAATTGTGGTCTCATTCCAGGCACCATGCAAAGACAGGCCAATGACGTGATTTCATTTATATAGATATATATATAAAGTTTATTGGTGTTGCTTTGTAGAAAGCAGATTTGGGGAGATATTTAGAAAATAGAGGACTTGATGAAGCTCGTGGAATGCTTCACAAATTTGGTGTTATCTTTGTCCCGAGCTATGATGATCTTCTCTGTATCTTTGCAGTTTTCTTTATGGGCCTCCCAAGAAAGAACATTTGTTATTAGGCATGTTGTTATTGTCTGTCTGCCTGCTTATTTATATCATTGACCCCAAATGACCTTGAGCAATTAATCAAACTTTATACTCAAATTCAATTTAGACTGTTTCAAAAATGTGTTTGGTTGTTGTTCTTTTGTGAGTCACATGATCAGTCTATTTGTGGTAACACTGGAGATGGATGTAAATGGAATAGAGAAGAGAAATTTTTCCTACAGTATTTTTTTAAACCATTAGAACTATCACTACTAATACAAAAACAAAAATAAATTTTCATTTCCCAGAACTGGCATTTATCTCAATCTTGTCTGGCATGCATTATAAAAATGACAAATGTTAGCCTTCAGCCTAGCAAATAGAATACCAACTACATTTCCACAAAAATTCCAGGGACAGCCATATACAGCTGAAACATTCTAATATGAAAAGGTGGTAGTGTCTTGATTATAGCTATAATTACACAGAAGATCAAATAGCAAAAGGAATATACTATACTGAGTAACAAATCTATATTCCTAGGACCAAAGGATTAATACAAAAATAAAGAAGAAGGTCTGAACTCAGTTTTTCACTAACAATGAGATGATTAATGGTAACAAATATGTGAGTAGTCCTATAAGAAACAGAACTCTTTTTCTCACATAGTGGATATTAAATTCATATTTACTGAAGGAATGACCAATTGCTTACCTATTCATATGAAGGGAAAAATATTTCCACTGTGAAATATCTTGATCTAAATGATCCTCATTTCTGTGATCTTATAGAAGTTGCTTGCAGGATTTTTAAATTTTTTTCTTCCCCTTTTTCCCCATAAAAATAAAAGAACCACTTTAAGAAGAGTCATGAGAGTAATTTTGTTTCATAATTCAAATTTTATGAATGAATTTCTGGGTGTCATATAATTAACTAAACAGAAGTAGCTGATATAACTAAGAGGCAGTATGCCAGTCAACAGATTAGTGTGCACCAGTATTTGAAAAAGAAACAAAACTCAACCATGTTTTCTTTAGTGGAAATAACTTCGTGAACACAACACAGCCTCCATTTCCAAGGCTGGTGCATCCCTTGCACAGATGCAAAGACAGACATCCTTAGACCCACAGACACACTCACACAGACGTCAGGTCTAGAGCTACTTCTCCTGGAAACATATCCTTCCACCCTGCAATCCTATTACTTTTTGCAGTGGCTTAACATCTCTCTAACTCCACAAAATTCGTTACTCATAGCTAATTACACAATAGGAATTGCACACTGAGTTCACCATTCCCTTTTCGTTGCATATCATAGAAGCAGTGAAACCCCAGGACTAGGATTATCCTTGTGTCTTCTTACACTGTCTGCATCAAAAGTAGACCACTAAAATTGATTTCAAAGGGTCCAAATTCACATGACCCACAACAGGAGTCTGGAAAGCTGTGTGGGGCTGCTCTCTCTATGCAGGAAGTTCCTGCTCAGGCCCACATAGGCCTGACATTGGCTGCTAGTCTTTCAAGGTCATGTGTACATTGTGTTTGTTCATAGCTGGCTTAACATCAATTCTAGGAGGTGGGATGAGGTGACTGTTTTTGGCTTAAATTAAGTTAGATACTTGGGAGACTCATGATGGCAATGAGCAGATAATGACAGCTAACTGAGCCTTGGTCCGTTGAGAAGAAATTTAGGTTAAAAACAGATTCTGAGTTTGCAAAGTAGAAATGTACAGACTTCTTGGAAGCCAGCATGGTATGGAATGAAGAAATGACAAAAACAGAGCAGTTCATTCAAGCACAGGAGGAGGGGACTGCGCTTTTGTGCCTCCAGGATTTCAGGTGAAAATGGTTTCAATAATGTACAAGAGCCTTTTGGAAAAGAATCGAAATAGAATACATGGACATAGACACTAAATTGATTGACCTATGGGTACCTCTTATAGAAAGAGCTATTTTGGGGCTGGGAAGGTGGCTCAGTGGTAGAGCGCTTGCCTTGCAAGCCTGAGGCCCTGGGTTCGATTCCTCAGCACCACATAAGAAAAAAGAAAAAAGCCGGAAGTGGCGCTGTGGCTCAAGTGGTAGAGCGCTAGCCTTGAGCTGAAGAGCTGAGGGACAGTGCCCAGGCCCAGAGTTCAGGCCCCATGACTGGACCCCCCCAAAAATAAGAGCTATTTTGTGGCTGGGGGCTCACGCCTGTCATCCTAGCTACTCAGGAGGCTGAGATCTGAGGATCATGGTTCGAAGGCAGCAAGCAGACAAGTCCATGAGACTCTTACCTCTAATGAACCACCAGAAAACTGGAATTGGTGCTGTGGTTCGAGGTGGGTAGAGCATTAGCCTTGAGCAAAAGAGCTCAGGGACAGAGGTTATGCCTGGTTCAAGCCCCATAACAGATAAATAAAAATCTATTTGTGGACACAAGCAATCTGTACATGTTAATATGTTGGATGATTAGATTCATAAATTACATTGGAAGTTCTTCAACGCTATCTCTTTGTACTGAGAAAGACGCAGTAGTAAAGCACTGTCATATGTTTACTCTTTCTGCTCCAGTACTACCATGCATTTTATCCCTTATCATTTAACTTGCCCTAAAGTGTTTTCCTAACATGTATTCCTGGATAATTTGATGATGTAATCTTCAACATCATTTTAAGAGAGAAATGCAGACTAGGACTAATCATTGTCTTTCTTTCAATTTTTAAGATCCTGACTTTAAGGACCTTGGAGTTTTGAAACCATTACCAGGTTGGTAAAAATCGGAGGTCTTTGTGTTCTTCTGTGAAGCATACCTTTGGCTTATTATTCAAGCTCCATCTTTGTGTGTTTGTTTGGCATCTTATATTTAGTGTGTGAGTTTGAGATGGGCGGCTCTGAAGGCATTGTGGAGTCCGTACAAATTCTCAAAGAAGGCAAAGCTACTGCCAGCGAGGCCGTGGACTGCAAGTGGTACATCAGAGCTCCTCCACGATCCAAGGTCAGTCTTGACGCACAGATGCCAGTGGCCTGGACGCGCATGGAAATGCGCCATGTTTGTGAAGCAGCCGGGCATGCTCCGACTGTGTGTGCTCACGTCTGTCATGGCTGTGCTTTCCTTTGGGCCTTGAGATGCATCTTGTCCTCCCTGGTTCATCCTAACTCTCTGTGCCACGATCTACAGTGTGCTAAGAATCGCTTGACAATCCAGATGGGGTCTCTAAAGTAAGCCTACCTCTGAAAAGTAGATGGGAATGAGTTACGCCCAGCTGTGCGTGAGGCAGACGTGTTTTCCTCTCCCCTTTCTCCTCTGGTCAGATCTGCAGCTTGTTTGCTAACCTCAACACCCATCTGTGGAAGAAATGGGCAGGAGTGACATCGAGTCTAAAACACAGGTGTGATAATGCAGGAGCGTGAGGTGACACGGCAAGGGAGCCAGTCCCCCTAGGAAGGGGACCCTGGCTCTGTAACCGCCTCCTGTCCCTGCGGGATTGGGTGGCCGCCATTACCATTCAACTGTGTTTCATAACCTAAATCCAGCTTTTATGTCGATCATCTTGATTTTAAGCACTATAAACACGCTGCGTTTATACCACACTGAATAGAATCTGGGCCTGAATCAGAGGCAGGCCAATGCATTGAAAATGTTATTTTATAACTCCTATCCTTTCTTCCTTCCTTCCTTCCTTCCTTCCTTCCTTCCTTCCTTCCTTCCTTCCTTCCTTCTTTCCTTCCTTCCTTCCTTCCCTCCCTCCCTTCTTCCTTCCTTCCTTCCTCCCTCCCTCCCTCCTTCCCTTCTGCCTACCCCATCTTTCCCACTTTTTTCTTCCTTCCTTTTTTCCTCCCTTTCTTCATCTCCCCTCTCTTCCCTCCCTTCCTTTACATTTTTCTTTTCTTTTCCTTTCTTTATGCTCTTTCCTCCCTTTCCTCCTTCCTTGCTTACCCTTCTCTTTCCTTTCCTTCTTCCCTTTCTCTTCTCTCCTTTCCTTTTAAAAGTTATTTGTAACATGCATGAGACCATGAGTATATGCACAGATGATGAGAGCTATATTTTATTTGATTATGCTTTCTTGCAGAGTATGTGCATTCACATAGAAGTGCCTTCCATTTTTCTTTACCTCTAAGAATAACTGCGAGACTTTTTATAGATGGGAAGTGTGTGTGCAGCCTCCTGTCACCGCTGTGTTAAAGGGAAGGTTGCTCTGCCAGTGTAAACACACACCTCTTCTTGCCAGCTGGTAAATAGCTAGCTGTCTTTTGTCTAGTCTTGGAGCAACAATGCAAGTGTACCTGTCTGTTTCAGAGTTTGGCATTCTGTGACTCAAAGGGGAAGTCTCCTGCAGAGTTGTACCAAGATGGTTCCATTGTGACAGGCTTTCTCTGTTCAGTTAAAGGTTAGAGGACAGGAAGTGCTTGGCATGCTGTAGAGAAGGCAGGGACCTGGAATTGCTGCCTCCGTAGGCTTCTATTTTTACAGAGTTCCTAGCAGTTTATGAGAAGTGCCTATCAAAGCATCAGTTAAACTTCCAGCGGCTCCTCTGAGCATCTGCAAGGAACCCGGTGACTGCACAACGGATGTGCTAAACAGCTGCTTTGAGTTCTGTGCAAATTTAACGTTGCTCTGTGCTGCCTCTCAGCTTTAGCTAAGCAGAAAGAATGATGTCCACTGACTCCTTTTCACATCAGTACCATGTGAGCAGTCTCGACTTCTTAGAATCTGCAAAAACAGAGAAAGAGCAGGTTTAAATTAGTCACTGAAGAGTAGATCAATAAGTGGAGGCCTGGAGTGTAGAAACACACTTCTATGAGCAAACTTTTCATGTTTACATAGATGGTAGAGAGAAGGTGTAGGGAGAGCGTTGGTGTGTCTGGTTAGGGACCTGGCCCAGAGAAGAAGGCCCAGGCTGGAATAATGCAGATGCAAATCACAGTTACCATTGGAACCTGGATTCTAGGAGGGCCAGGGCTTATGCATCTCAGCCCACCTAACAGGTCTGTCATTCAGCTACAGCTCACAAAAAAGTAAACTGATGGGCATCTCAAACAAAACTCATAGTAACAATCTTCAGACATTTGAAGAAGTGTCATTTGAGGTGGGATAAAACTAAACCTGCATGGTGTTAAGTATTGCAATTTGGTTGAATATTTGAAATGAGGATAGAATTTTCGATATAACGTCTTGTACATTTCATTGTTGCAGTTGGTCCACCTGTATCCCTATTTAAACAATTTGCTTTTTCCCTTCCCCTCCACAAATTATGCCAACATCAAATACAGTGAAAATAGGGGTTATACCCTGGGGGAGGGGCATACAAAGCAACAAAGAAATATCTTATAAATGTGTTAGAATAGAATTTTCAATTTTATATATAAAAGGCTTTTGGTTTAATAAAGAAGATTACATGGGATTCAAGAAGGAGAATGTAAGCAGAGTTTGGCAGGGATTATGTATAATAATTAAAATCAAAGTAATTTTTGGCAGAGAGGCTGTAAGAATCCTTATAATAGCAAAATTCCATGATTCTGTGATAAGTATTGGTTCTGATATTTGCCTAGTTAGTAACAGAGTTTAAGCAAGAGCCATACCAGCAATGAATTCTGGTTCCATTTGATATTACAAAAAAGAAATGGAAGTAAAATTGGATAAACTGGTTCCACTCTGTAAATCATTTGGTAATGTCAAATTAGAAGGCAACTTGGATGGCTTTTAAATATTTTTCTCCATGTCTATATAATCATCTCTTTCCTGCCTTACCACTACTTGTAGTTGGTGAGTGCATTTTAGCATCAAGGAAACAATGAGGTTTTCTGGTTCTTTTCCAAATAAAGGAGATATTGCTAGCTCCCAAATTCATGTGACATCCTCCTAAGATGATAAATGTGTCGTGGCCATTGACACATTTGACAGCAACCACAGGATTTGGGCGATACGTGCTGTCCAGAATACCGATTAGTTATAAAAGTACCCAGTAGCATTGAAAACATGCATAGCGTCTCTCAGACGACAACACATTTCATCTTCATTTGTTGTGGGGAAAAACACAATAATTGCCTCAGTATCTGTTTTCTTTTTTCTTTCAATGTCACATAAAGGGAAGATCACTTGGTTAAACAATTGGTATTAAATTTTATTTGTAAATCTGTTCCTTAGGGCTGGGAAGGTGGCTCAGTGGTAGAGCACTTGCCTTGCATGCTCGAGGCCCTGGGTTTGATTCCTCAGCACCACATAAGCAAAAAGAAAAAAGCCGGAAGTGGCGCTGTGGCTCAAGTGGTAGAGCGCTAGCCTTGAGCTGAAGAGCTGAGCGACAGCGTTCAGGCCCAGAGTTCAAGCCCCACGACCGGAACCCCCCCCCAAAAAATCTGTTCCTTAAATTGTTAGCTAAATTTATTTGCTTTGCATCTAAAGCCAAGGGTTTTGCCTTCCATATTAGCATGACTTGGCAAACAGCTATGACTAGAAATGGTGTGTGTGTTGGGAAGTTTCCACGTCCCGTTCTATAAATCATCGTGTCAGCCCCAGCTCTTTGTGATTGATTAAAAAGAGAATGCGTCGGAATGACTCGCTGAGGAGAGATGATAATCTGACCGTTTTACTAGGTTATATATTATTCTGTTTATCATTTTCTCTTTGCTTTAGCGGAGGGGCCGACACGTTTTTGTCATTGGCAATGTAAACACTTCTTGGTATTGTTACGGCACAAGGCTTGTGGTGATGGGATGGCCATTTGTAGCACAGTATCACAGTCCATCAGGACTTTAAAGCATGTACTCGGGAGCTGGTGGCCGAAGACTGGCCGCTTCTTCTGTTTTTTCCTGGCTGGATTTTCCTTAGCTTTGGGTGCGATGAAGTGAAAACCCTAACATAGTTTACTACTTTTTAAATATAATGCAAGAATGGGAGTTAAAAAGAATTATAAGATGTATTAGAAGAGATTAACAAAATCTACTTCCTTTTGGGGAATGGACATGGTTATTTATTTATTTCATTTGCATCAGTTCCTTGGGTTGTTAAAGTTGTTGGCTTTATGATGGCATCTTTTTTCCTGTGGAGCATTTTTTGAAAGTTTGCTGAGACTGTGTGGTATGAGAATCGGGATATTGGGTAATTACATGTCATACAGACTTGTTTCCCTGTGAAGAAGTTACTTAATTTTGCGAAACCATAGTCTCCTCGTCTTCAAATGGGTATAACAAGTGTCTCTTGTATCAAAATGTGGTGAGCGGAACCATAGCAGGGACCTTGCAGGCTTTCTTTTCCTAATGATAAATTAGTGTTTCAACCTGTGTCCAGACACGAGAATAGTGAAAACCTCAGATGCACTATTTTTCCTCCTTGATTCAGTCAAGTAGCTACTTTAATTAAGTAATTTTCCCTCTGTGGGAAAAGCATTTGGTTTTGATAACCTCACAGGGAGAGGAGGGGTTGCTTTGTATTCCACTTAAAATAGAAATCGAGCCCACTGTGTGTTTCCCTTACTAGTAAATTTGCATGTTTCTACTGAAATTGCACATCCTTATCAGAGGTAATAAGCCACATTGAATTGGCTACCTTGTGTTTTAAAACTGAAACATATATTTGACTTTATTGCATTTAATAAGCTTTTTTTCTTTACAAGAATACCTAGATTTTGGTTTTCAGTTTGTTTACTTTAACTCATAGAGGACAAAATGATTTGGTGAAGAGAATCCTAAAAACAGAGTTGAAGGTCTTAAACCATTTAAGGTATCCACATTATTTGCTTATTTTTTTCAAGCAAAATTATTGTATTTTTCCCTGTAGCTTTCCTGTAATAGACATCTTTAAAACTTATCCTTTCTTTTATAAAATAATCTGTGTGAATATTCCAGAAACAAAGGACAGAATTTGGCAAAACTCGCAAGGCTACATCTTAAATAGGACATTTCTGGGATTTCCTGGATAGTTTGAGGAATGTTGTGTCATGTTGTAAACAGGAGGTCACACATGCCCTAAGTGAGAATTGTTTGAACTACTGGTAGAGCTGGCTTGAGCTTGGATACAGCGAAGCCTTTCCTGAGGTGCTTGCTTCACAGAGATGGGGGGACACCTGATTTGAAATCACTATCAGAGTAGGTGGCTGTATTAGGATCGTTTTCCAACTGAGATGAGCAGATTGCCTCTATATGAAAACTTCATTAGCTGGCAAAGCATAATGAAACCCTATTGGGTTCCACTCATTTTTATTCATTTTTTCACATTTCTGTTTGTGTTTTTCCTTCTCAGAATTATTTTCAAGTATCTTCATCTGGGCCATCCCATTTTATCTTTAAGCTGCTATAAATTTGCAAAATTATTTTATCATTCTGTCATATTTAGAACTATATGATGCACTGTTTTGAGAGTTATCCTTAGTAAATTCTTACTGTAAATAATAAGATGACTATTTCATGTAATTTTCATTATCTGTAGCACACAAGACATTGTCTGGCACATAGATACCTAATAAATAATAAATGCTGAAGAAACAGGGTCAACAAAGAAATAGCACTTCCAATTTAGTTATTAGTTTGCGGCTCCATCCATTTCTAAAATTTTATGGAGTGCTTAAAATGTGCAAAACGTGGTTTAATGCTCAGCAATTGAAAATAGGGAGCTCTGCCCAGAGCACTGAGTAGAGAAGGGGTTTGTCAGCTTCACAGATTACAATATGGTCAGTTAGCCCACTTTAGCATCGTAGTGAGAGACTTGGCTATGGTTGAAGACTAGAGCAAGTGAACAATTCTTCCCTGGAGATGCCAGAATGAAATATACATTTACACATCAGGAAGAAGTTGCCAGGAGAAGACAGAGTAAATACTTCCTGTGAAAATAATGCCATGTGTATGAATGATGGCATATTTGGAAATAAATGCGCAATGTTGGAAGCTAAGGAGGGTGTGTTTGTCAGTTTAGAGTTTTGCAGTGTTTTTTATAAGCATGTGCCAGAGATTTTGACTCAAAGATAAATTATTCACTACCTGTCTTAGAAGTATAGCCATTTGTATGATGATGGCTTACTTGAAAATATATTGGACGCTAAGGAATGCATGTTTGTCAGTTTATAGTTTTTCAGTATCTTCTTTTATCCTATATTAGTTAAAGATTTGTGTCTCAAGGTTTATAAATTATTAGATTTGTTACTGAGAAGTTCAGCTTGCTGGGTGGGGCTTTGATGCGGATGCGGATTCTGAAGTCTGGCCAGGAGACTAAAGTATTAGATTTGGCAGATGAAATCAAGCAGGGCTAGTGTCTTATTCAGTAAGATCACAGAGATAAATTTCTACTATTTGAAATACTGAAATTTTAAATTCAGCTTACGCATGTCAGATCTGGGGAGATGCTGTCTCATGGAATCTATAGTGTATGGAATAAGGAAAAAATCAAGGGGAAGGGAGCAGAGAAAGGGTAAGAGAAAGGGTGTGACAAAGCGAGGACCAATTCAGCAGTGGAACCTGCTGGATACTCTGCTGGCAATGACCTATACAGCTGTGGAGGGAGGACAGAGTCAGAGGGGAAAAACTGAGAGAAAACGAGGGAGGGGTAACAATGTTCAAAAGGACTCATGTAACTGTAACCCTCTGCACATCACCTTTACAATAAAATTTAAAAATCTTTAAAAAAAAAAAGAAAAAGAAAGAATGAATAGAGGAATGAAAAAGATGACTTCCTAACCGAAGGCCTAGCTTCCATGCCTGTGTCCTTGTGACAGAAGAGAAGCGCATTGACAGAAGGACCCAATAGGTGTGCATGTGAGACAATACGATGTAAAATGCTTAGGAGAAACCTCGGTGCAGAAAACCTGTATTATTCCAGAACTGTCCAGACAGCCCTCTCAGGATCTCTGTCCAGGCTTGTTTTTGTGCTTCTGTATTTCCCCAGTAGATGAGATTAAATATTGGTGTCATGATTTCAGAGACCCATATTTTCAGCACTGGTCTTCATTTGGTTGTCTATTATTGCATCTTCCATACCCTGAATTGTGTCTGGGTCCACCTAGGAGCCCAGAGTGGACGTAGCTGAGCTGATGGATGGATGAACAATGTCTTCACAGTCTTCTCTTGGGCTGAGGTAGTCACTTGAGGTTCTGAATATACCAGAACCGTCAGTTGATGAAGAACAGGGCATGAGGCACTGAACTCTGTGGAGGTTGAGGGACCTACTGTCTCAGTTCCTGACAGAAACATCTGAGCTCGAATCGCCTCCTCTGAACCGGACAGGAGGTAGTCCATTTTAGAGTTCCAGGAGCTTAAGGAAAATGCAAACAATGTAGATTGCACATTACTTTTTTGCTCATTCATTTTAAATTTAATTTTTATTTATGCAGAGCTAGCTAAATAGGACCATAAACTAGCTTAGCTTTTGAAATTTCTTTTTCATATTCCCCACTTTAAAACTGCAGCACTGTGGTTAAATAATTTAACAGACTGAAGCCAAACATCGTCTTTGATGGCCTGTCATTTTTGGTTTTTGAGGTTTCTCTTTTTTTGTATTAACATTAATTATTTCTTTGGGAGAAAAAAAGGAAGCTGTGGAACTTTGACAAGAATGTGTCAGGGATATTTAAAACATTTATTTAACCAAATTAAAACAACAATGGATAACTTTGGATGGATAACTGATTCCAAATAAGTTATGGGAAGACTTAGGCACACATGTGGGGGGGAAATACCCCAAAAATAAAATAAAGAAACACAACTAAGCTAATGGAAATGGTGAATTGAAGTTAAAAAAAAACATACAAATACCAGCATTTGGGAAAAAAATACTGAACACAATTTGTGTTTTCCTTGTGCGTCTTCCTGCTCTCCACAGGGGGACAATAATGCATCTGATTGCAATCAAGAGCGTCTTGTGAGATTGCAAGCCAGCCAAGGAAGTTCTGGTACTTTCTGGGCTGGGCTCTCTGTGCTCCTCTCTCGACCCGGGGGACTTATGGTCTGGTTGTTTTACAGATTTACTTACGGTTCTTGGACTATGAGATGCAGAATTCGAACGAGTGCAAGAGGAATTTCGTGGCGGTGTACGACGGCAGCAGCTCGGTGGAGGACCTGAGGGCCAAGTTCTGCAGCACGGTGGCCAACGACGTGATGCTGCGCACGGGGCTGGGCGTGGTGCGCATGTGGGCCGACGAGGGCAGCCGCAACAGCCGCTTCCAGATGCTCTTCACCTCCTTCCAAGAACGTAAGCCCCCCCCCCCCGCCACCCCGTGCTCCCTGGGACGCCCGCGGGCTGATGCTGCTCCCAGCCGCTCCTGGGGCTTGCTTCCTGCGGGCCAGGCCTGGCCAAGCGTCCAGAAAGAAGGTGCTCCCCTCTCCGAGAGCGCCCTTCCTGCCTTGTGGTCCCATACCAGGAGCGAGTCCTGTATCCCTGGCCCCCGGGGAAGTGCGCCAGCCCCCTCGCCCTGGTTGGAGCTCCTAAGACAGACACATAACCAACAGTGTGCTTTGGACCAAGTCTGAGATCAAACCTTTAGAAAGCTGGTTAAAAGCCTGTTGGGCGTTGGGCTGGGTAGAGTGTTTACCTAACATGCATGAAGCCCTGGGTTCGATTCCTCAGGACCACATCAACAGAAAAAGCTGGAAGTGGTGCTGTGGCTCACGTGGTAGAGTGGCTAGCCTTGAGCAAAAGAAGCTTGGGGACTGTGCCCCAGGCCCTGAGTTCGAGCCCCACAACTGGCAAAAAACAAACCAAAAAACCTTGTTGGCCCATTTTAGTAAGCTCCATTCAGAGTCCTATATGTCTCAAGGTCACTCCTGACCACTTTGGAGGTCAGTGAATTGAACGTAGTGGTTCAGGACATGTCTGAAGGGCACATGCAGGATGCTCAAAGCCATGCAGCTGTCTTAGCAAGTTATATGTATTGTTATATTCTGTAACAATAATGGCATCAGTATATACTGATGCCTTCTCAAAAGCCTGGGTCTGTCCTATTGTAACAATTTCTGCAAATGGAAAATAATGCTGAGTAGTAAAGGCTTTTATTTTTGCTATTCCTGCTGTTGTTGAAAAGGTTGAAACTTGCTCAGACATGGATTAATGCCTCAAAGATAAGAGCCACGTTTACAGAGTGTAGGGAATTCCTAAATACCATGGATCGGGAGGTGCCCAGGCCAGAGGACTTGGAAGGGGTGAGGTAGAGCCAACAGGAGACAGGGAGACAAATGAAGAGAAGAGGAGCGGAGGGACATGCAGTCAAGAACACAGTGTAGATCCTACAAAATTAATGTGAAATGGCAACTCTCCTTTGTACAGCGACTTAAAGATCATAAAAAGAAGAAAAGAACATCAGAAAGGATGTCTGTGAAGGGGGTATGACCACAGACAGTGGTTCAACCAGAAAAATGTATTCTCACCCAACCAGGTTGGGAGAAAGGAAGCATGTATGTTGGTCAGTGGGGAAAGCATCTAGAAGCCAAGGTTCCTTTGAGCTCTAAAATTGATCATCTGATTTTGAGTCATTAGAGCTCAGAAGTGGCAGACCATACCATGCTGTGCCAGGTATGACACATAAGAGACAAGAGTGGGTTTTAATACCTTTTCATTTCTGGGCATCTGCCAGTGGCTGGACTTACCCACGAGCCATGTAGGGGGCCAGACCCCTGTTCCTACATAGGAAAAGGCAGTTTCTGGACCTTTAGTAAGTTTCTGGCTGGGAGATGATGATGGTTACCATGCATCCCCTGTGATCCCCTCAGTGCTCAGTAAACATCCACGGACACCTCGGAAAACCTGGCTGCTCGTGCCTCATCTGAAAACTCACACACGGAAAAATCCAATCCCTCCTGTGAGCGTGTCACGGGTGGAGGACAGTGTGCTGATGAGGTCACACTTGTGTGCTGATGAGGTCACACCAGCAGAGCCTTCGGAGGGATCAGAGGCCCTGGAGGAAGGCCTCCGAGAGTTGCTTGTGTCCTACAAGACACGGTCGGAAGACCCCCTGTGAATTAGGCCCCTGTGAGTCAGGCCTGCACACCACAGGTACCCTGCAGGTGCCCTGATCCTGGAGGACCCAGACTCCAGAGCTAGGAGAAACAAATTTCTCTTCCTTTTTAACTTCCTGGCTTATAGCATTTTGTGATAGCATCTTAAATTGGCCAAGACATTTCCAAAGGCTTTTTTTTAAATTTGTATAACGTTGACTTTGTTTCTGCTGCACATTCTGGCCATCTTAAAGTGAGAAGAAGCATTTTCCATTTACGTTGTGACAGTAGCACAGCTTAATACATGCAGTACCAAGCTATCGATGATCAGAGCACCCGCACCTGCACGTGGGGTGTGGGAAATGGGGTCGTCCTGGAGCTCTGGCCTCTGGCATCCATGGCATTTGAGGCTCTTGGTCAGAGGTGTCTGCTCTGAATCATGTACCAGGCTTGTCAAGAGATAATTGTATTTATATAATTTTTTGTGCCAGTCTTAGGGCTTGAACTCAGGGCTTGTTTGCTGATCCTTGAGCTTCTTTTGCTCAAGGCAAGCACTCTATCACTTGGGCCACAGTGCCACCTCTGCCCTTTTAGTGGTTAATTACAGATAAGAACAGCCTAGACTCTCTTGGTACAGAAGACCCTCCCTTTAGGAAAAGTAGCAGCTGGGGAGAACACCCATTTTCATTTGGTGACTAATTTACAAATGATTGGAAATGTTCTCAAAATGTCAATAGGGTCCTTAATCCTTTGACCACAAATTGATCAGAAAAGGAAAATGTTGGGGAGCGGCCCTGGCTAACCTGGGTGGCTGTGAACATGGAAGCTTCTGGCAACATGACAGTCCTTGAGGAAGAGAGCAAGGCCAGCGTGCTGCCTGCTCAGACATCCTCAGCCTCCGGCGCTTAGAGAGCACCTGCCCAGCAGCTCAGCTGGCAGCTGAATGAAGACCTTGGTGAGGACGTTGGTTATACAACCCCAAAGAACCAAACTTGGACTGTGAAGTCGAAATCTAGTAAGAGCCTCTCAGCACATCCAGTGTGAACAGCCTAGCCCTAGCCAGCACCCCATCACTGTGTGGAGGACCTAGCACCCAAGCTGCTCACCAGCAGAAGTCGGGAGCAAGGAATAAAGGCGGGGTCATCATAATCTGATGACCTGTTACACAGCAGTAGAAGACCACTCAGAGTCCCAAGTAGTTAGGATGACAGGCTTAAGACAACAACCACATCTGGCTACCTTTCTGTGGTGGTGGTTGTTAATTTTTCATTGGTAATGGAATTTTAACTCAGGGCTTTTCACTCACTAGGGAAGTACCTTGCCCCTTGAGTCAAACCTCCAGATGTTTTTTTTTTTTTACTTCTTTCCCCGCCCCCCAGATAAGGCCTGTGCTTTTGCTTTTTGCTTGAGCTGTATTTGGACTGTAATCTCCCTCTACAACTTCCAGAATAGCTGGAATGACAGGCATGGAGCACCATGTCCAGTCTTAGAGCTTAAACCCTTGTGAGTTTCCAAAACAGAACCCACTTGAATCCTTACCCAGATTTCTGACATGCAGAAATGTGCAATCATAAATGGGTATCATTTGGAGATGGAAGGTAAATGTAACAAAGTATTAAATGATTACCACTTCTAAGTTGGTAACTCAGAAGATATAGCAAGATATTGTATGTCAGCACCAACTGGAACCCGAAAGCTGAGGGACTGCTATTCATTTCTCAGCCTAATGATAACCTTTGATTTGATAACTGTTCATGGTGACATTTCCATTCTGCTGTGGAGGTAAGCAAGTCCAGTCCTCCTGTGTTCACCCAGATCAATCCACTGGGGCCACTTGCTTCCGAGCACGCGAGTCCATACCTTGATTTCTGCTCCTACTCCCACCAAAGACTGCATCCATCCGCTTAGTGCTGTGAGGCCTCGTTCTGCCCCTGGGTTGTTGATTTTCTCCTGCTTTCATGTGCTATTTGCCTCTCTCAGGTGATAGCTGATGACTTTGGGGTCTGATCTTACCTAGAACATGGTATCATCCTCCTTTGTTTCTTGTCCTATCAGCTTTCTGAGCCAGGCAGCAGTGGCTCACACCTGTAATCCTAGCTAAGTAGGAGGCTGAAATCTGAGGATCACAGTTCGAAGCCAGCCTGGGCAAGAAAGTCGGTGAGACTCTTCTCCAGTAAACCACTTAGAAAAGCCAGAAGTGGCACTGTGACCCAGGTGGTCGAGCCCTAGTCGTTAGCACATAGAAATTCGAGAACAGAGCCCAGTCCCTGAGGTCAAGCCCCAGAAAAATACACAATACATACATACATACATACATACATACATACATACATACATACATGCAGCATTCTGTGCTGAACAGTGCAAATACCTGATTTTGTAATAGCTAAGTATAGTGGTCAATTTTTTTAATGTCCTCAATTTCATGGATTCTAAAGAGAAAAATTAAAGACCATAATTTAAATCTTACTTTGCAAGTGCAGTGCTCAGTGAAACTCTGAGAAAAAGTATGAAGTGCAAGGATGGTCGGTTCAGACTTACCTTTCCCATTAATTTTCACATGAAAAACAGGATGACTTTAGGTACTTTTTGTTACAGAAAAAGGAATTACAATATTTTTCTAATTCACCACCCTGTCTATATAAAGAATCAGAAGGACAGAATAAACATTATATATCTCATTAAATGTTTTACAGTGTTGTTCATTCAACAACAATATTTTTTCCTCTGGAAAAATGAGGCCCCAGCATGATTAATTACAAGTCTGGGGTAAAAGTAAGATCAAAAGCAGTGTAGGAATTCTGTATTCCACCAACTGGAGAATGCCGTGTTATCGATAATAACAATCTAGGTTGTAAGATGATGTCTCACCACTGTGAATTGATGTGTTTTTAAAAGATTAGAAACACTTTATTAATATAACAAGTATTTTCTTATGTTTGTTGTAGAGCAACATAAATATCAGTCGGCATAGATTTAAATATCAACAGTACACAAACTAAGCTCAGAAAATATCTGACAATATGTCATATTTTGGCATAAAATAGAATAAAACATGATATGGATAAGAAAAATACCACTCTATTCAAGTCCGCAACATGAAATAGGTATTAATATAAAAAATTCATAGTGAACATACATAGAGAAAATGAACTTTTGAACAAATGACAAGATACACAAAGTACATATTTATTTTTCCCTAGGAAGCATAAGAAGTTTATACGGCCGTAAGAAAAGGTTCAGTTTGGAAACTGAAGCAAA